AGACTTCCAAGTGTCTTTGGAACTGGAAACCCGCGGTAGTCTCTGCATGCTTTAGCCCCATCCCCCTCCTAGTAAGGAGACAGGGGTTTTCCACCAGCTCATTTCCTAGCTGCAGTGTCCAACCCTAACTTTGCGTTGCCTTCCCCATGCTTATTCAGGAAAGATGTAGCAGTGTTGCTTCTGTGGGGTTTTCCCTGTGTTTAGGAGTATACCTGTTAAATAAGTTACATAACCGCTAACTAGAAGTCTAAACTTTTTTTTGGATCATTTTCCATCAGCTGTAGTTCCATAAATTCTGCAGTGTTAGACTGCTTGTATATTTTTTCCTCAGTGAATAAGGATTTTTAAATTGAACCAACCTTCTTCTGCCTGCCTGTCTCTTCTTCTTTCCTTTCCCAAAGTCTTAAAGCCCCTGGGTTTGGCAACTCCTTACAGGTGGTGCCAAGCCACCAATCACATGAGAATAAAGGCCAGAAAAAGAAAAGACCAGATGGCATCAAAACATACACCTTTCTAGGTCACTGGTGGCTGAGCTTGCAATCTGGTTACCAACAAGGAGCCTATGGGAGAAAGAGGAGGGAGCGGCAGCACAGTGGGGATGAATTTGCCGTTCGTCCCTTCTTCCAGCTATTGACACAGTCAAGAGAAAGTACATTCATGGAGGAGAATGTAATGCGCTCCAGTTTATAGTCACGGGATACCCATGGCTCGTGGAAGGGTACATTTCCCCTGTGTGGAGTGGAATCGCATGTGGAAACGCAGTCATTGAAGGGAAGCCTGAGTAGTGTGGCTCTCGCTGGGCCAGCTGCTGCCCTTCAACTGCCACCGACCCGCTGTTATTCTCCTCTCCAAATATCTGCTTATTTGTCAGGGCAAAAACTGGAGATCGCATTTAGCTCCCACAGGAGAGCCAACCCCCTTCCCCCCACTTGCCCTTCTTACCACTGTCCATGCTGCAGTGCTGTCCTTAGAAAGCAGGTAGCCTGGCTAAAACCTACCCTGAGAATAATGCAAGGCGTCTCACAGATGCTTTGTAATTATCTGACTGGAGAAATGTCTAATAGTAGCCTAAAAAAAAAAATAGAAGAGGGACTTCTGCCTTTCCTGTTCATTCAGACATTAAACCTCACCTCTTGGTCTGACTAGTCCCTGATTTATTACTTAATAAATATACATGATTTATTGGCAATCCCCAGATATATCTCCATGATCCCCAGGCTGTTAAGCATAGTTGCTGTTTCCTTATAGAATGCCAGTTTCATTGTTGGCTCTTGAATGAAATTTTGAATTTAGTCTTAGGTTTATAAATTAGTTTTTTTGTTGGTGTTGGTCATGGAACATGAACTCTGGGCCTGGGCGTTGCCCCTCAACAATTCGGCTCAAGGCTATCACTTCTGCTTATGTGGTGCCGAGGAATTGAACCCTGGGCCTCACGCATGCAAGGCAAACACTTACCCTGAGCTAACTTCCCAGCCCTAGATATTTTTCATCTTAGATTTTATATTTGGTCCCCTTCTACAAATTTAGGTCCTTTCCATCCTCTTTCAGTTACCTGGGAATCCTTGCTCCTTTGTAGACAAATTCAGTATCCTTCCATCCAAAGTAAAGCTGGTGCTTCTTTTACAAGTCTGCCTTCTCTACTAACACTCTCTGCATTTATTCACATTCCATCATCCTTGATATCTGCATGACTCACTGCAGTATGGACATCATGAAAGAAAAGAGAAGGCTTTGTTCTGCAGTCTGCATTCTAACCTTTTTATTTCACTAACTTTTATTTTTTGAGACAGAGGCTTACTATATAGCTAAGACTGGCCTCGAACACATTATATACTCCAGACTGACGTCAAATTCTTGCTCACCCTGCCTTAACCTCTGTAATGCTGGGATTAAACGCTTGTTACTATCGTGCCAAGTTTTGGGTTATAAGCTCTTATTAAAGTTTCCACCTTTTCACCTTTCCCAACCAGGCAGATGTCTGAAATGGTGCTGAGAACACAAAAGTCATGTAATAAGCACAACTGAATTTTAGGGGGAGGCATGAATAGATTTTGAACTCAGGGCCTCAGGTTTGCTAGACAGACACTATCATTTGATCCAGGCCTCCAGTCCTTCCATTCCTTTTGAGATTTGGTTTCACTTTTTTGCCCAGGTCTAGCCTCTTGACTGCAACTCTCCTACATACGCCTTCTGTGTAGCTAGGATTATGAAACATACCACCATGCCCAGTTTACTGACTACCTTTTTGCCTGGGCTGACCTTGAACCGCAATCCTCTGGAGCAGGTGTGTGTCACCACCATGCCAGGCCAGGTTCTTTAAAAGAGCAAAAAAAGACTTAATATGACGTTAGGGTTTGTTTTTGTTTTTTGTCTGCACCCTGCAGTTTGTTTGTTCTTTTTTAGTGCTGAGGATCCAACTTGTGGTCTTGTGCATACTAAGCAAACATGATGCACCACTGAGCTACCTTACCAGCCCTACATTATTTTTAGGGTAGGTTTTAGTCTCTCACAAAACAGAAAATCATCTCACTCTTTTTGTTCTTAATGTGGAATTATAGTAAAGAATCGGTTTCATGTTTCTTAAGACTAAAATGTGAAAGATAAATCTACTGTGTACCAAATTTCTGGAGTTAAGTAATTTGAAAAAAATTCTTACAACATGCTCCTTGTGAATTTTACTAGTTGCTCTGTTAACATTTGTAGGAGTTTAAGTTCAGAGTGGAGCCTCTGGGTATTGGCAAGAGAACCCGCAGTTTCTCTCGCCTTCTAGTCATTAGCCTACTAGTGCAGTTGTCAGGCAGTGTGACAGTCCTCCTAAGGAGGGATTCAGAGGGACTTTTTACTTTGCATGAGATTTTTCTGTTTTTGTTTTTGCCTGTCACAGAAAGATCAATCTGCTCCTGTGGCATTTCCCGTCTTAAGAGATTTTAGGTCCCATAGCAGAGAAATAGAGTGACTTTAAAATTATTGAATGTCATTAATGGGAAATCCATTGATGCACCTTGTAGAGAAAATGAAAACATTGTTGTAGCCGCAACAAGTTTGGCAGGTTTCAGCCTGAAGCCAAGCATTAGGCCTGAAGTGATTGCTCAGTAGACATCATTTGGAGTGGCAGTTCTCATGGAGCCTTGACTGATTGGACTGTAGGTGCTACAAGAATGGGGACAGTTCATCAGCCAGACCTCTGACCTCATGGCTTGTCATCATCCTTGCTTATCAGTGGTGCAGCTGGCTGCTTACCACTGTCCCCTACCCGCTTTGAAATCGCTAGCATTTGACATTTTCACTTGGCATGTTTTTCCTGTGGTATTAACACAGGGAAAGCATAGTTTGGTGAGTTCTTGAAACTGTTTTGTTCTCTTGGAGGAGAAAACAAAAGATGTATTTGTTCCCGAAGCAGTGTGGACAGTTGCTAAAAGTTTGGTTATGGTTGCTTAGGGAGTTCAGGGCACCTGCCATGTATGTACTCTAGTTTCAGATACTCTGTTTATCTGATGGATGATGCTCGATGTTATGAAACACAGACCCAAAGATGGCTTCTGGTATTGCTTTAGGATAAACGTATGTACCAGAATGCTCTCAATTCCATGCTCATGGTTCCTGGTTCAGGGAAGGTGAATCCATGAAGCCCTCTGCCACAACATCCAAGAAATATGTCTCTCAGCTTTCACACAGTACAGGTGGACCAGAGAATACAATGATGTTTAGTAAGAGGATTCTGTCACCTGTTTCCCTTGGGTACAAAAGTGGAAGCTAGTTGAGAGAGAGAAAAATAAAAATTAATGAACTGGTACACTTAGGAAGATGGAGAGTATTTTATGGACTGTTGTTTTACTGGCTAGACTTAACCACAGGATATATATATATATGTGTGTGTGTGTGTGTGTGTGTGTGTATCTATATATATATACATGTATATATATGTATATACACACATACATACATACACATATATGCTGGTGGTAGTGGTTGTGGGACTTGAACTCTGCCTGGGCGCTGACCCTGAGTTTTTTTGCTCAAGGTTAGCTCTCCACCACTTTGAGCCACAGCACCACGTCTGGTTTTTCTGGTGGTTAGTTGGAAATAAGAGTGTCATGGATTTTGCTGCCTGGGCTGGCTTTGATCTGTGATCCTCAGATCTCAGCCTCCTGAGTAGCTAGGATTACAGGCGTGAGCCACTGGCGCCTGGCTCAAATTGCCCTTTTTATAAAATGAGAAATGATTGTGGATGGGGAAGTACATACAGTTTGACCTAATAGGTATATATAGTAAAGAGAAGAAGGAATGTATGTGAGAGAGAGAGAAGAGGAAGGGAAAAAAGAAGAGAGGAAAAGGAGTAGTACAAACTTTTGAGACTTTTATACCTCCTTGGAGTACCATAGCTGTGAAACTTGTACTCTAGCTTGTGGTTTTAGGCATTCAAAATTGATTACAATTGCTCCTGTGTGTGCATGTGTGCACATACCATTCTTGGAGTCTAAACTCAAGGCCTGGGCAATGTCCTTGGGACATTTTGCTCAAAGCTACTACTCTATCTCTTGTCCCACAGCTCCATTTATAGATTTTTGCTGGTTAATCATAGATAAGCGTCTCACAGACTTTCTGCCTGGGCTGGCTTCAAATCATGATCTGTAGATCTTAGCCTCCCAAGCACCTAGGATTACAGGTATGAGCCATTGGTGCCTAGCTCCAGTATGTTTTTATATGTACATATTAATACATTGGAGAGTGTATGGGGTAGCTTAAAAAATAAAGCAACCCCCAAAGAGATTACCGTTGGGATTATAGTATGACTGGTGTCTACAGAGTACAACAGAAATGCAGGTACCCCTATACTTGTAGATACTTTGAAGAATTAGAGGTATAACATGATTATAAGGTAAATTACTCCAAATTCTGAATTGTCTTTACCATAGGTTCAGTGTTTCTAGTAGAGTGTCTGGACCATGCTAAGTTTTTTGTTTTTGTTTTTGTTTTTTTTGCCTTTTTGTCTTTCTTAGACGAGCTCATCTGCGCCTATGTTTAGAACGCTTAAAAGTTCTGATTCCATTAGGACCAGACTGCACCAGGCACACAACACTTGGTTTGCTCAACAAAGCCAAAGCACACATCAAGGTGAGAATGTCTACTTTGTGCATTGGCATATGCTTCTCAGGGCCCGGGTTTAATTATTAGCAATGATTCCTATTTACATAAATCAGCTAGCTTACCATGCTCTCTTTAATAATTGACCTCAAGAAGAATCTTTCTAGAAACTGGCCAGCTAATATTGGAGTAACCTAACCTGGTTGTTGTGACAATGGCCAGTTGAAGAAGAGCTGAGAACACTAGGAAAATAACAATTCGCTTCCTTATACTCAGAAGGAAGGCAATTGTGCCCTCTGGTGGACATGACTTTATTTGGCTGTGTGCCTCAGTATTTTTCCATCACACTGCAGAGTGAGTGCTTTTCCCTTTGTGGGGATTCCTTTACAGACTTTTAGAATTCTATTTTTCTCAAGTAATGTAGCATTCATAGACAATAAAGGAAATATATTTAAAATATTTAAAATGTAACTTCTTTATGTTTTTATATACATAGGCACACACACACACACACACACATATATATATATATATACACACACACAATCACATATAGATGTGTGTTCATTCATGTTTCTCTGCCAAAGACCCCTTTTAAGATGTTATGTAGCAATGTTTTAATGTTTGTATTGGACTACACACAAATGTAAATATTTCGTCATTTTAGAAACTTGAAGAAGCTGAAAGGAAGAGCCAGCACCAGCTTGAGAACTTGGAACGAGAACAGAGATTTTTAAAGCGGAGACTGGAACAGCTGCAGGGTCCTCAAGAGATGGAACGAATACGAATGGACAGCATTGGATCGACTATTTCTTCAGATCGTTCTGATTCAGAGCGAGGTAGGCAGTGTTTCTCTCCTCTGTCTGGATTTAGGGAAGGTGGGTTGCCTTTTTAGCCAGTGTAACATTCTGGGTTTTGTTTATTTTGGGGGAGAGGGGGGGAGGATCAAACTCAGGGCCTCACAATTGTTAGGCAAGCACACTCTAAAATAAACGAAAGCCCAACTCATTCTAGGTTTTATTGATCAGACTGTCTAGTAGTAACTTGGTGAACTTACAGAATTTTGGTTTTATTTTTCTATTTTACAAGTTTTCCATGGAAAATCTTGAGTTATCTATCCTCCCTCCAGCATTCTCTCATATAGTAGTTATTGAAGCCAAGAAGTGAACACTGATAGAATACTAATAAGTAATCTCTTGATTATGAGTTCAAATTCCACTACTAACCTTTGTCTGGTCTAGGATCCTAGGGTGGAGTCCCCCAGAGCACTAGAATTCTTTTGCAGAGTACTGGCCCAGTTTTATTCAGTACCCCTTGATTGGAGGATTTTTTTGTTTTGCATGTTTTCAAATCATTAGACTGACGGTATACATTTGGGCAAGAAGTATCACAGAAATGATCATGTGTCCCTGGATTCAGTATGTCAGAAAGATGCACTGATGTTATATCTTGTTTACCAGTGATAGTGATTTTTGTCTGAGAATACAGCACCCTTCACTTCTTTCACTTCTCCTACAGCATTTGTCTTTGGCAGAATTAAGAAACAAAAGTCAACCAAAAGAGAAAGGGTCTGAGTTTTATTTTCTACCCATCTGTAGCTACCACCACCTCAGTGTCAGAGTGACAGGGGGTTTGCCTGGCGTGCAAGAGACTCGGGTTCAGTTTCTAGCGCAGCTAAAAGAAAAAAATGTAGGGGGAGGCTTCAAGCTATATTTAATGCAAATATATTTGACTGGCTTATTTTAGTTGCCAAACAGTAAAGAAGTTTAATCCAGATACCTGTGGCTCAGGCCTGTAATCCCAGTTACCCAGGAGGCTAAAATCTGAGGGTTGAGGTTCAAAGCCAGACCAGGCAGACAAGTTCATAACACTCTTTTTTTTTTTTTTTTTTGGGTCCGGTCGTGGGGCCTGAACTCTGGGCCTGGGTGCTGTCCCTCAGCTCTTCAGCTCAAGGCTAGCGCTCTACTACTTGAGCCACAGCGCCACTTCCGGCTTTTTTCTTTTTGCGTATGTGGTGCTGAGGAATCGAACCCAGGGCCTCAAGCATGCAAGGCAAGTGCTCTACCACTGAGCCACCTTCCCAGCCCTAAGTTCATGACACTCTTATCTCCAATTAACTACCAAAAAGCTGAACGTGGATCTGTGGCTCAAGTGGGAGAGTACCAGTCTTGAGCAAAAAAAAACCCCAAACAAACAAACAAAAACACTAAGAGACAGCACCCAGGCCAACTTTAAGCCCAGTACCAGCACCAAAAAAGGTAAACTGCAGATGGATCTGTAGAATGGTACTATCAAAGGCCTCTTGGATGCTTTGCCTGTTTCTCAATTTTTTCTCTTCACCCTCATCCCACCCCACTCCACATACTTTAAGGAAACCTTGATTAATAAACAGCACCAACAACTGCTTTTTTGTTTAATGCAAAACAGATGTGTTAAACCACTTGGGTTGGGATCTTTTAATATTAAGTATTAATTTCCAAATAGGCCAAATGCTTTTAGTGGGAGGTCTAGACGGACCGGCGTCAAAGGGTTTTAGTAAACTTGCTGCCTAAATTAAGACCACCATTGTATACAGACATCCTCCTTTGTGGAAAACAGACCTGTTTCTTCACCTTCAGTTCCCCCCATTCTCCAGAGATCACTAATAATAAGCCTATTGTATAATGTTTACTTGATAACTGCTTCTTCCCCCTGCCTTTTAACTTTTGAAGGTGCACATACGGATTATTCATGTTCTTTTCCTTTCCTTTGGCAGAGGAAATTGAAGTGGATGTTGAAAGCACAGAGTTCTCCCATGGAGAAGTGGACAATATAAGTACCACCAGCATCAGTGACATTGATGACCACAGCAGCCTGCAGAGTATTGGGAGTGACGAGGGTTACTCCAGTGCCAGTGTCAAACTTTCCTTCACTTCCTAGAACCCAGCATGATGTAACAGTGCAGGGCAAAATATTCACTGGGCCAATCCAATCCAATCTCTTAAACTGGGTTCATGATGCAGTCTCCTTTAGAACTACACAAAACTATACTTGAACAAAAGGGTCAACAGACCTGTATTTAAGCAAATACTTACTAGCAAAAGTGGAGTAGAGCCTCCCCAGCAGAACAAATATTCCGAATATTCATTCATATTGGGGGGGGGAAAACCACAGTTTCTAATGGCAGCAGAAAATGTGTGTGAAATTGTCTTGAGTTGTAGTTGATTTAAGAGGACAGTGCAGCTTCCATCCTCTTTCTTTTCTACTTGGGTCATATTGTACTGAGCAGACACATTGAAGGATGTGGTTATGAGCCCTTCCTGAACGTGATGGCCCTAGAAACAAAATCAAACCTATAGTAAGGAAAGGACGAGATAATCAGGCATTATTTTTGCATAGCTAAAAGAGCTATTAAAATTCCAGCCTGGGATAGTTTATCACAAAGCCTGTGGATGATCAATTCTTTAAAATTAAAAAAAAAATCATTTCATACTCTACAAAAGGAGAGACTACATGAAGCCTTTTGAGAGATCATCATGCAGCTCAGCTTTCTGTTGGATTCCATGCTAAGCAAGCTAACCTTATCCTGCATTGTTAGCACTAGGGCACCCAACCGCCAGCTCGCCAGCCGCCGCCCCTCGGCCGCATGGGGGCAGTTCCGTGCATGACAGCCTCTGTCACACAAAGGCCTATGAGTGTGGATTGGGAGCCAGAAGGAAAAAGCCCCACGTGCCTCCGTGTCTGCGTGGGTCAGAAGAGCTGTGCACGCAGGTTAGCAGGCCAGGGTCTGAGCCACAGCAGCATTTTTATTTGAGATTTTGATAACTGTTTATATGTGTTGAAAACCAAAATGACATCTTTTTAAAGCTTGTCCATAAGTAAACATAGATGTCTTTTATAGTGGAAAAACACATGGGGAAAAAAATCATCTATTTTGATGCAGCATTTGATAATGATAAAACACCTCACACCTCTCTTTTTAGTGCACAAAATGAGGTCTGGGCTAGGTAGAAAGAGGTCAATGCTGTTTTTGTTTTCTTTTAGGATCATTACCTTTTACCAGCTTTTAACATCTGATCTCCATAGTAGACACGCTATCATAGATAACATAGTTGAGTTCAGCACTTGTCTCATTTTAATGTAAAGATTTGCTTCCATTTTCTACCGGCAGTCTCTCTCCTTCCCCACAGTCCCATCGTGCAGGTGCTAATGTTGCTCTTACATTTTTGGAAACTTTATTTTTCTTCTACGTGAGATTCCTAGCCTGCACTTTGATGTCATGTGTTCCCTTTGTCTTTCAAACTGTAAGGTTTCCTTCTGGTCCTCTTCCTTATCCTGGGGAGCCTTCCCAGAAACCTTACCTTCAGCTGTTTGGACTTTGTATACTTTAAATAATTTAACTACCCTAATTACTTAAAAAAAAAGCTTTATGATTTTCATAACTTATTGCTGATTTTAATGGGTTGTTAATTTCAGTCCTGTAGTTTTATTTTATGTTTAGATAGGGCTGGACAAGAAAAAAGAAAATAAAGACAACCATATCTAGCAGCCCAATTGAGTTGTGTGTTAATATTAAGACTATTCTGAGTAGCATTTTAATAGCATCCACTACTTCTGTCTAGGAAATGTTCCGCCCTGGGCAGTCACACACCCTCAGTATGTGTGTGTGTGTGCATGTGTGTGTGGGTATGTGTGCACATGCCCTCTTCACATGCCTTAATTGTGCTGTTTGAGTGGGAAAAGTTCCTTGAAACTGCATATGTTTGGAAACTCAGCATTAGAACTTGTTACATTTCAGGTACTGGGAACTTAAAAGCACGAGGAAACAAACTCATTTCTGTGCCCCAGGTAAATTATTTCTACTTTCAAGATTAATTACACTTGTAGGTAAGCTGTTGTTCCATAGAAATTGCTTACTTTTGATTTTCCTGAGTTTAGTTTAAAGGGTGCTAGCAAGCATGGGAAGTGGAGGCCAGTACAAAGGTCCATATTGTTAATCTGAGGACATTCATCATTAGACCCCTGGCTGGAATTGGGGGCAAACTTTCAGAACCATTTTGTTGTGTTACAGGATGGGCTATAGACCTACAGTGCATATTCCTACTGTCCCCTAAACTACTCCTTCCTTGGATTTTTCTTCAAGGACATGGGTAGACTGTGATGGATACGAAGTACTAATTTTCTAAAAGATAAATCAACTTTGAAGACACAAAAGTTAACCACAAGAGATAAAACTGACTACAGGCACCTGAGGTGTTTTTTTTTAAACACCCCCATAAAAACAAAAAATTGTTGAGTATTCACATCTTTGAGCAACTGTCTCTGAAATATCTATGTTGATACTGTATCAGAAGTCCAGTTCATGACAATTATAATTACTATGTCTATCCTAATATTTAGACAGATTCCTGCTCCTACTAAAATTCCATATAACCTAGCTGCATGGGGTCTAATGTACCTGCTATAGCTTCAGGTAGGCCATAAAGACATTGGTCATTATCATTATTTAACTTTAGAAAATCTCTTTGACAAGCTGAAAATAAGCCTGGGCGTTCTCATTTAGTACTCTTCTAGTAAAGCACCCGTGAGGGATACCTCAAGAGGTTGAGATACACTTTGTGCCAGGGTGTACTAGCAAAGGATTCTGAGGTAACACAGGTATCTGGTTAGCACAGAAGTGAGAAATCTTATTGAAAGTGCTTTTTCTAGTCCCAGGACAATGCCTGATTTAACAATTAAGAAGGGATTTTAAAAGGCATTAAGGAATGAGGCGGTAATGCTTCCTGGTTCCTATCTATTGAGACGTTGTTTTGCCTTTCAGTGATGTGTGTGTGTGTGAGAGAGAGAGAGAGAGAGAGAGAGAGAGAGAGTTGAAACTTTGCCTCTTTTTAGTATCCTTTCCACACACACAAAAATCCTAGATGCAAATGGAAGTCATGCCAACCAAAACAGTATAGAGGTAGCAGGGATGCTACCTTTTAATTGAAGTGATTCCCTTGCCAGTGTCCTGAATAGCTAGGACCAGACCACGGCACCACTCCTGCGTCCACGTGTGATGTCCTGCAGAATCGTTCAAATAAATACTTCATAAGAGAAGTACCATCAGTTCTTAGTGATTATTTGTTTGGTATTTTATTTAAAGTTCTTTTTAAGTTTTATTGTAAAGGTGATGTACAGAGGAGTTGGTTACATAAGTCAGGTAATGAGTACATTTCTTTTTGAACAGTGTCACCCCCTCATTCTCTCCCAATTTTCCCCTCCCAACTTCCCTCCCCCCACCAAAAGAAAGTTACATAGTTCATTTCCAACATTGTATCTAGTAGGTTTCACTGCTGAGTTGGTTCAGCCTTTGTTTCTGAGCTTCCCTTTCCCCTCCCCAAATCAGATAAACTTATAAGACAAAGGGTACAGAAATAAAAACCACAACAGAAGGGAATAACCCAAATAAAAAAAGAACCACAAACAGCATTTAAAAAAAAAAAACTTCCCATTTCTTGGTGCTCATTTTGATAAGCCTCATTTATATGATCATATGCACATAGTTATTGAGCCCTTTCATTCTACGCTTAGTATAATTTACAAATGGGGTGATGTCATTCTTTCTGATGGAAGCATAGAATTCCATTGTATCGTATTTTCTTGATCCATTTGTCCACTGAGGGGGCATCTGGGTTGATTTCATGTCTTGGCTATGGTAAACTGTGCTGCAATGAACATGGTCATGATGGTGGCTTTAGTGTAGTCTGGGTTGTGGTCAGTTGGATAGATGCCGAGTGTGATTGCTGGGTCCTAGGGTAGCTCTATGTTTAGTCTTTTGTGAAACCTCCATACTGCTTTCCAGAGTGGTTGAACAAGTTTACACTCCTACCAACAGTGTAGTAACATTCCCTTTGGGCCACATCCCCACCAGTATCTATTATTTTCTTGATAGATTTTGGGTGTTTTGTTTTGTTTTTTAAATGACTAATCTGATAGTAACCACCATATGGAACTGAGTGCCCTAGATAGTGTTGAGTGCTTACCTTTTCTAAAAGTCACTGTCCACTTTCTTGGCCCATATGTCGCAATGCGAATAGAAAACTGGTTTTCTTGTAGACTGTCTGATTTCCTTTGTGTGTGTGTGTGATGTTGAGGATCAAACCTAGGGGCCTTGCACATGCTAAGCAAGTACCGTACTAATGAATTATATCATCAGCCCTTGTCTGATTCTTTTAAACAGGTATTGTAATTCCAAAGATAAATACTGGGCAACAATTTCACTTCTTGGCTTTATCGTTCTTGTCATAAATTATTAAAAATAGGGCTGGGAAGGTGGCTCAGTGGTAGAATGCTTGCCTTGCATGCATGAGGCTCTGGGTTCGATTCCTCAGCACCACATAAGCAAAAAGAAAAAAGCTGGAAGTGGTGCTGTGGCTCAAGTGGTAGAGCGCCAGCCTTGAGCTGAAGAGCTAAGGGACAGCGCCCAGGCCCAGAGTTCAGGCACCACAACTGGACCCCCCAAAAAAATTATTTTAAAAAGCTTGAATATAAGCTTTTAAAATATTGCCTATGCCAGATGCCAGTGACTTGTCTCTAATCCTAGTTACTCAGGAGGCTGAGATCTGAGGATTGTGGTTCAAAGACAGCCCAAGCAGAGAAATCAGACCTTTTTGGGGGGAGGGGGGGATGGGGAGAGGAGGTCAGTCATGGGGCTTGAGCTCTTGGCCTGGGTGCTGTTCCTGAGTTCTTCAGCTCAAGGCTAGTACTCTACCACTTGAGACACAGCGCCACTTCCGGTTTTCTGAGTGGTTCATTGGAGATGAGTCTCAAGGCCTGACCTGCCTGGGCTGGCTCTGAACTGAGATCCTCGGATTTCAGCCTCCTGAGTAGCTATGATTACAGGCATGAGCCACCATGGTTTCAGTGAGACCCTTATCTAAATTAACCACCAAAAAAAAAGGCTGTGGGGCTCAAGTAGTCATACTTACTTAGCCTTACTTAGTCCAAGCCTTACTTAGCCTTAAGAAAAAAACACCTCAGGGACAGTGCTTAGGTCCTGAGTTCAAGTCCCAGGATTGGCAACTGCCTACTAACTTACTGTAGTTTTGGAATTCTTTCTGTTCTCTCAGTTCTGAGCATTTGCTCAGAGTTACTGATGGGGCAATGATACTTACTTCAGATGTTCACTCCAGGACAGAATAGCACTGTAAAAAATAGTCAAAAGATTCTGCTAAGATATATACTAAAAGAATATAAATGAGTGCTGGTGGCTCACGCCTGTAATCCTAATTACTAGGGAGGCTAAGATCTTAGAATCACAACTTGAAGCCAGCCTGGACAGAAAAGGTGTGAGATTCTTATAAACTCAGAAAAAGCTAGAAGTGGCACTGTGGCTCAAGTGGTAGAGCACTAGCCTTGAACACAGAGTGGCTCAGGGACAGAGTCCAGGCCCTGAGTTCAAGCCCCAGGACCAGCAAAAATAATGAAATGTTGCTTTCTTATCTATCTTTGGGAGGGAAGGAGGCAGGGAAGAGGGGCGGAGGGACAAGGGGTGAACAAATAATAAAGCAATGATACTATGTTAAAAATGAACTAAACAGCCAGGTGCCAGTGGCTCACACCTGTAATCCTAGGGACTCAGGAGGCTAAGATCTGGGGATAGCAGTTCAAAGCCAGTCTGGGCAGGAAAGGCCGAGACTCATCTCCAATTAACCACCAGAAAACTGGAAGTGGTGCTGTTGCTCAAGTGGTAGTAGACTGCTTGCTTGCCTTGAACTGAAGAGCTGAGGGACAGTGCTCAAGCCCAGAGTTCAAGACCCACAACCAAAAAAAACAAAAAAAAAAAACTATACAACTTGTGGGTGGGGGTGGGAGGGAAAAACAAAAACAGAAAACAAGGAATAGCACAAGAAATGTACTCTACTTGATTTACTGTAATCCCTCCATACATCACCTAAAAAAAACAAAACAAAAAATCCTACTAAAGTCCTGCCTGCACTTCATGCAGATAAACTGAAGTTCAGACCTCAGACCTGCTATCAACCATCAAGTGTTCAAATCATGTGATCTGGGGATTTCCTTGCCCATTGTTTTATAAAGCACTTGGAACCCTTAACAAGGTAGAAGTTATGATAATCCTCCTGACCCAGAAAGGACATATGTTTCAGGTGGTAAAATGAAATTAGTAGGCTAGTTAAAAGGCAGCATGTCTTTAGCCGAGTCAGACACTGCTGCAGGAGTAAGGAATGGTGCTGTGACCCTGTGCAGTCATGGGCTTTCCTCAGCATTGGAACTGGAACACCCACCGCAAACCAACAGGCTACTATATATACTTTTTAAAAAGACATACAAAGGATTCAGTTTTGGTTGTTTTTTTCCAAACTACAGAATTACTTGTTAATTTGCCTATGTTCATCTCAACTGCATTAAAAATTCAGTGTAACTTGCAACTCAAAAATGCTAGTGTTCACATTTAGTGTTGAATTTCTAAATTACTACTTACTATGGACTGCCTCATAGAATACAAATAACAATGTAATTCAGCAGGTATTTATTCAACTCTCCAAAGATTTCTAGTAAGAATAAAACCTGTTGGTTTAAATATTTTCTCCCTTTTACACTTCAATTAATGTAGAACTTAGGGAAGCCAAATCAGTGCAATTCTGGCTGAATTTACAATGGGAACATTTCATCTTATACAAGATCTAACCTAATGGAAGGGAGAGCAGAGCTCAAGTGGTGTCTGCCTAGCAAAGATGAGGGTCTGAGTTCAAACTCTAAACATCAAAGAAAAAAGGAATCTATTGTAATTATAAAATTACCATCTATGGCTAGGAATGTGGCTCAGTAGTAGAGTGCTTGCCTAGCATGCATGAAGCCCTGGGTTCGATTCCTCAGTACCCACATACACAGAAAAAGCTGGAAGTGGCGCTGTGGCTCAAGTGGCAGAGTGCTAGCCTTGAGCAAAACCAGCTCAGGGACAGTGTCCAGACCGAGTTCAAGCCCCAGGACTGGCAAAAAAAAATTACCATCTACACATAAAGTATGTTTTCCATTATTAGCCAATGGTCCCTTGCTATTTTCAAGGCAGACACACACTCAGCGGTATGGTCACACCACACTGGACATACACACCCATACACATTCCTTCACTATGAACCCAAACAAGCATTGAGAGTTGGCTGGGGTGCTGATGGCGCATGACTATAATCTTAGTTCTTCAGGAGGCTGAAATCCAAGTTTAAAGCCATTCCTGTTGAGCCCATGGAATTCATCTCTAATCACCAAAAAGCTGGAAAAGCTCAAGTGGCTTGACCTAAGTGACAGTGCCCAGGCCCAGAGTTCTAGCTCCAGTACCAGCACCAAAAAACAGGTTGGAATAATTTAACTGAAGCAATTTGGACTGATGCTTAGTTTTCTTAACTAGGCTAAATAAAACTGCTACTGAAAGTTCTTTGCTTCAGAAATTGAACTCATTTTACGTTTAGCCCAAAGTATGATTCTCAGTTACTGATGTTTGTCACACAAGCCAATTCTTTAACATTTTATTTTTTGGTCAGTCCTAGGGCTTGAACTCAGGACCTGGGCACTATTGCTGAGCTCTTTTGCTCAAGGGTTAACGCTTTAGCACACTGAGCCATAGATCTACTTCCAGTTTTCTAGTGGTTGATTAGAGATGAGTCTCACAGCCTTTCCTGCCTGGGATAGCTCTAAATTGTGTGATCCTGAGTCTCAGCCTCCTGGTTGCAAGCATGAGCCACCAATTCCCAGCAAGAATTAAAATTTTTGTTAGATCTTCAACCCTGTACCCAGTAAGACATATGCCCTAGTGTGAAGATTATTTCAAAAACCTCTACTATGATTTACTGAATATATAATTTTGTAACATTTCAATAGTAGTTGTAATTGGGGGCTTCCAATCTTAAGCAGCTATCATTATCCATTGTAATATGAATTGCTATTGTGTAAAGGAAAAAACATCAAATATTCATTCTACTCAACATTAAATGGTAAATACTTCTGTAGTGTTTACCATATGTCAGACATTGTCCTCTTATACATAACTCAGTCCTGAACCCTTAAAGGGACATTAGCTAGTAAGCAGGAAGGCAGTATTCAAACACTGAAATATTAATTAGAACTGTCTTTGCTAACTATTAACATTTTAAGAATTTTAAAAATCATGGTTGTGCTGGGTACTAGTGATTCGTGCCCAGTCTATTTTTTAAAAAAATGTTTATTATGATGTAGCTACTTCTATTTCTCTCCTAATACAAAAGCGCTCCCAGAAAAGTAATGGTCAGAAGAATGGCCACAGCTGTGACAGTCCTGCCTACACAAACACCAGGTAAACCACTTTTCCAACAAACACACCAAGGTAATCTCAGAAATCCTTTTCTGGAGGCACACAGATATATCAGATTTTGCTAACTATATTCTTCTTCTAAGCTACTTTTGATTATGACTATGCTATTAAGATATTACAAAGGCTGGGCTGGGAAGGTGGCTCAGTGTAGAGCGCTTGCCTTGCATGCATGAGGCCCTGGGTTCGATTCCTCAGCACCACATAAGCAAAGAGAAAAAAGCCGGAAGTGGTGCTGTGGCTCAAGTGGTAGAGTGCTAGCCTTGAGCTGAAGAGCTGAGGGACAGCACCCAGGCCGAGTTCAGGACCCACCACCGGACCTAAGAACAACAACAACAAAAAGATGTTACAAAAAGGCAATAGTGATGATACACCCCTGGAATCCTACCTCTTGGGAGGCAGAAGCAGGAAAGTCTGAGTATCTTTCTCTCCAATTAACCAGCAAAAAGCCAAAAGTAGAGCTGTGGCCCAAGTGGTAGAGTGCTAATGTTGAAAAGCTTAGGGACACCAGCATTCAGGCCCCAAATTCAAGCCCAAGAATTAAATATTTAGAAGTTTCCTGGTCTTAAATATTTGCCCTTGTGCTCACTTTTTTCTTTGTAACTTTTGGATTCAGTGCTCAGGAACGAGTCCAGGTCCATGCACGTGCCAGGCAAGCATTCTTCCACTAAGCTTCATTCTGGCCAAGTAGTCATTTTTCTATTGTAATGTATGCCTTTTGTCCTACATGTTTAGGAAGGAAAAACTGACCTCTTGGGCTAGGAAAGGGGCTTGTATAGAGGGAAGAGAAGGAGAATTCAAACTTTCATCATTGTCATTCCCCTTTTGTTAACACACCTGGAGGTTTTTTAAAACATTTTATTTAATAAAAGTTAAACATACAAAACTGAAATTAACACACATCCTAAAAGTCATCTTCTTCCATTAACAGGAAGACCCTTTTATGCATATTTGGCTTAAACTCAACTTGGGATAACTATGATATTCACTTACACCAACAAATGCTGGCAACTTGATCTAGTTAATAAAAATTAAAAACTCAGCTACGTGAACATAATATACAGGGGAATTATGGTCAGATTAATGCACAAGAAATACAAGAAACTCTGTGATGAAATATTCAGTACTCTTGTTCATTAATTTAGCCGTGGGTTTTTTTTTTTTTTTTACAAAAATAGTATCTACACTGTATACAGGGCTATACATCAGCTTTCTGTTTTCTCATATAAACATTACACATCCAAAAACTGGTACCAATACCCTTAAAGAAAAAAAACAGAAAAACAAAAACAAAATAAACAAAAACACCACAGAAAGGGATTTCATCCTAAACATGGTTTCTTACATCAAACTCAAACTCAGTTGAAAAAGAAATTAAATCTGGATCAATTTGACACACATCCCCATAGGCAAGGAAACAAGTTATTCAAGGAAAATCCTCAAAACTTTGCCATCTGCAAATTAACCTCCCATTAGGCTTGTCAGGACAACTGCTAGGTTTTAATGTAGAAGAATAGATGGAAGGATCCTTTTAGCAGATTGGTGTTTTACCTTCATGTTCCAATGAAATGCTAGAATATATGTCAAGTTCGAATCATCTGAAAACCCCAAGTTACAACTTACAACCTGCATATACCACACTGGGTGGTGGGGAGGCTGGTATCAGAAAGATCAACAATTCATCCTACTGCCAATTTAAGCAGCATCTGTCTAGAAAAGATGCCTTATTCAACAGAGTGAGGAGCTGTGGTAGTAGAAACAGGAAGTTAAATGAATAGCAGTTATCAAATGCAGTTTCTTCAAGTTTCACTCTATTGAAGTCAAACAATGACAACAATGGTATCCTCCTTACTCATCTAACAAATAATTTACCTTTAGAAAAATATAAGGATAAAAAGGTAAATGTAAAGCCCTGCAGAGATGAAATCAACAGTTTTTCTTATTATTGAGGCATCAAATGCCTGACATTGTATTTAGAGGTATCTTGATATTGTGTCATGGGTTTATCAGCAATTCCACAAGTTCCTACGCCGACTTTGCCAGTTACACTCTCTGGTGAAGCAAAAATACTCCTCTTTACCTAAGGAAAGAAAACAAAAACCATTTCCTGATCAGTGCTGGAAAAAAAATATCAATTTCAAACTTTAATGTTAAAATATAATCTACATCAGTACTTTTTTTTTTTTTTTCTGCCAGTCCTGGAGCTTGAACTCAGGGCCTGGGCACTGTCCTTGAGCTTCTTTTGCTCTAGGCTAGCACTCTACCACTTGAGCCACAGCACCAATTCTAGCTTTTTCTGTGTATGTAGAAGTGAGGAATCAAACTCAGGGCTTCATGAATGCTAGGCAAGCACTCTACCACTAAGCCACATTCTTTGCCCCCATCAATACTTTTTAAAAGTGCATTGTTGAGGGAAGTGTTGATATTGTTCAAAAGAAAAAAAAAATGTATCATAGTCAGGTGCTAGTGGCTCATGTTTGTCATCCTAACTAGTCAGGCGAGATCTGAGCTTGGCAGTTCAAAGCCAGCCTGGGCAAGAAAAGCTGTGAAATTCTTATCTCTAATGAACTACTCAGAAAAATCCAGAAGTGGCACTGTGGCTCAAAATGGTAAAGTGCTAGCCTTGAACACGAAGAGGCTCAATGACAGCACCCAGGCCCTGAGTTCAAGCCCCAGGACTGGCAAAAACAACAACAACAAAAAAAAACCCGAAGTACTCATTACCTGGCTTGTGTAACTGTACATCACCTGTACATTACCTTTATAGTAACAATTTTAAGTGCATTGTTTGCACAGTGTCAAAACTGAACAGAGAAAAGGGTCCCACCTAAAGCCTTTACTCCTAAGCTATGCAAAGTGTCACCAAACACCACCACTCACTATTCATCTAAAGCTTGCCTTCAGATGGATCAAAATCTTAGTTTTTCTGCTCAAATCCCAATAACAGACAAAGTTTCTGAGTTAGAAGCAAATGTTTCATTTAAAAATCATTTTAATAACATTTGCAGTTTTCATATTATAAAATATGACCAAATTTACCAACCTGGCCCTTTTTATTTTTAGAATACGCTCTGTTGTTAAATTGTTGCCATTTCACCTTCTGATCCTCTCTTTCCTGCTCAAGTTCTTTTATTCTCTGTGCTTTCTTCAAAGCCTTCTTCTTTTTATATTCACGCTGCTGGGCAATCATTTCTTTTCTGTGCAGAAGAAAAAAAAGTTTAAAAATTTAGAGATTTAAAGATGTCTTTCTTGCACACCATCCCAGTACAAAAAGAAAAAAAAATCCAACCAACTTTTAATTAAAATCAATATCAATCATCTAAGCATTACTAAAAAAAAAAAAAGCTATTTTTTATAAAACAGTGTCTCAAAAGGTTGAGGGGTCAGGTCCAGCCTGGCCTTGAATTCATGACTTTCCTACCTCAGCCTTCTGTGTGCTGAGATTTTACAGGTATGTCATGCCCAGATTGAAAGGGATGAGGGGAAGGTAAGGAGAGGTGTTGAAAAATACATATGTATGTGTGTGTAGACACACACACATATAGCATCTTTGTAAACTTTCAAGCATAAATATATCTATTACACCTACAAATAAAATACTCAACTATGACTTTCTATTTGACTCATATAGCTTTTGCCAATTATGCTTTGGGAATATATTGATTTCCAACATTAATGACCAGCTAAGCCCTTACCAATTTCTAAGTAAATATAGTTAACAAGTAACATTTGGAAAGATCATATCAAAACATTTAATACAAATCATATACTTTTACTGAGATTGGAAGAATTGGAAGAGCACAGTGAAATTATAACAATATTTGGTGGTACTGGGGTTTGAACACACAGCCTAAAATCTGCTCAGCACTCTTCCATTTAAGACATGTCTCTAGTCCAGCTTCTTGCTGGTTGTTTTAAAGATGGATTCTTAAAGACTTTTCTGCCCATACTGGCTTCAAACTGTGATTTCTGGGTTTCAACCTCCTCAGGAAGTTGTGACTACAGGTGCTAGCCACTGGGCCTTGGTGTAACTAACAATTCTTAAAAACAGTAACAAAAAAACCTGGGAGTTCCAAAAATCTCTAAACTAGCTTCTGATCCTAAATAAAATCAAACCTAAAACTATTAATAATCTTTGTTCACCTAACAGCAGCCAAAATTAAGATTTTTAAGACAGGTAATAGAATCTAGATGCTTTTGTACCATATAATCACCATCAGGAAACTAAAGGTGTTTTTTACACAAACTCAAAAGATCATGGGCTGGGAAGGTGGCTCAGTGGTAAAGTGTTTGCCTCATATGCATGAGACCCTAAGTTCGATTCCTCAGCACCACATAAGCAGAAAAGAGCCAGAAGTGATGCTGTGGCTCAAGTGGTAGGGCACTAGCCTTGAGCTGAAAAACTGAGGGACAGTGCCCAGAACCAGTGTTCAGCCCTCACTATGACTGTAGTAGACTGTAAAGCAATCTAATTATATTGAGGATATTTATGTTGCCTGGATTATAACAGCAGCTGCCTTCTCTCTTCAGACATTCATTCTTAAGCTGGAATCTCATCCTTCTACTTTAAAATGTTATCAGTGGTTTACAAATACTTTGTGAGTCCGGCTCTCTAAACCATCCACCTCCAGTTCCATGTTTTTATTACAGGAATTTCTTTCTGCTTCCCTTAGGGCCCCCCCCTTTCTTAAACATTTACTGAACTATTACTATGTGTTAAGAACTGTTACAAGCTTTATGAAGACTACCATCAGTCAATACCTAGTAATTTAGATGCTTGTCCCCAATTTCCAGAGGAAGAGGCAGATTTAAACCACTGCCTAACATCAAAATGCTTCATCAATAAGAGAAAAAGCGTCAAGCACACGTGTGTGTGTGTGTGTACACACACATACACAAATATTATAAAATCAATTATTAGACTGTGTTCTAGTTTACTCTGCTAACTTCTGCTCATCTCAAATCTCAGTTTAGATGTTTCTTTCTCACTCTGAAGTACCTGTTATGTCCCTTCATGACTTCTACAGTGTACTATGAAAGCACTCTCCCACCTACCCACCATGCTGGGGATGAGACCAGGGCTCTGCACATAGTAAGCAAAGAGTCTACCACTAAGCTATATGCCCAGCCCTAAAGCATTTCTTTCTGTGTTCTCTTCACTAACTCAGCAGGGATAAGGTCCAAGCTGTTGTTCACTGTAGTGTAGCACCTGCTGCCTTATAAAAATTTATTAAGAAGATACTGTTAGTATTCATTATCCTCTTACTGTTTATAGAATACCAAACTAGGAGCCAATATGTCTTCAACCTAGGCATACATATACAGAAAGTGTTGACTCTCTGTGACTACCTTCAAATGCCATGAAGTCCTAGAACTCTCTTAATCTACCCTGGTTTTTTGCAGGCTACCTCAAGTACTATAACAAACTGCAGAACACCCAAACTGCAGAAATCAGTCACTTACTTTGACATGGGTTTGTTGCCACTGTCCTCCTTTGCCTTCCGGCCTTCTTCTACAGGCTTCAGATTCAACAGTGGAGTCACTTCAGCATTGCCATAACCAGCAAAGGTGATTGCAGCGGTGCCATTTTCTTCGTCTATCTCCTCGATCTCCGCTTCATAACACCTGTAAAGATATCATGGCTGTAAGCAGGTGAGTAAAGATTTAGTACTCAGCCTATAAGACTTATACTGCAGTGATTCAACTATTAATATGGGTCTAAACTAAAACCTCTTCCATTAAATGGCCCTTCTGACAAGATCAATACAAAAGAATGTTTGGATAGATTCTACTATCAAATAAGTCCTAATCAAAATATTGCCAGGAAAATCGTTTTCAGATATATCTACTCGATGTGCTTTAATTTCTTTAAGATATTTCTTAAGAGACTGACTTCAGTGATTCACTTTCTTCAGTTATTCACTTAACAGAAATGAGAAAATCAACCACTCAACTTTCAACTTGAGGAGAGAATAATTTAGAAACCCCTACTCATTTATCCTTCCTTGGAGATCCAACTGATTCTTTTCCCCAAACTAAATCTAAAATTAAGTTGTATTAACAGCCAAGAAAACAGCCAAGAATTAAACTGGGTTCATAAACAACATTGCCTATACCAAAAGATTAAAATAGGGCAGTTCAAACTGAATAAAAACATCTTACCATTGTATCTTATTATCTCATGTTATAGTTAGTTTTTTCTACACTTACTGTCCATCTTCACTCCAGATTGCCATACACTTGTCTCCTACTTTCCATGAATGAGTGGGCTGAGTAGAAGCAAAACTGTCCGAACTTGCAAGTGTTTCTGAAGGTTGAGTTGACAGAAGGTCTTTGGTTAGTTCTATAACTTCCTAAAACAGAACATAAACCATAGCATCTTTAATAATTTGCATCACCAACCATCTTTTAGCCTCCACCCTCACCCCTGGGTGCTGGGAATGGAACCCAGGACACCTTGCAAGACAGGCAAGTGCTCTACAAAACTGAACCACATCCCCAACCTTTCTTTTTGTTTTTGAATAGAACTTATCAAGTCATTTATATAACACTAAGAGGGTGCTGTAATTATCTCCATGTAGATTTTATACTGCTGGTAGCAGAGCTATCTTTAAGCCTGCATACCTTCACCTTAACCCAAATACTAACAGAAATAAAAGTATACGTAGGCTTATCCCACACATTACTTGTGTGTATTTTAGCTGAGTAGCTCTAAGGATGAGAAAATAGGACAGACTGAATTAGATTGAAGATCATCAATAAGAGAAAGGGTCCTCAGTTCTCCTAAGTATCATTATATTTCATGGAACCACAATGTGCAAGGCATTACTTAGTAATAGTATTAACTTTCTACCCATTACACTCCTTGAAAGTTCCTGAACACCCAAAACAGAAATGTTAGTACACAATGTCCCCACTTACACATACTTGTGCTAATATACTGTAGTCATAGCCTATTTCCTTAGTATATACCTCATCCCAGTTGAGTACAAATTATCAGGTTAGCTTTAAAATATTCTATTCCTTAGTATTAAGCACATTAGCACAGACTCATTTAAAAGGAAAAAAAAATAAAAGTAACACGCAAAGGCAGGCAATGTCTTTGTGGCAAGTTCTTTCTAAACTGAGGGTTGCATACATTGGTTTAATTCAAAGGTGTGTTAGAAAGGGCCAAGAACTTAAGGTACAGATCAGCAAGACTCAGCCACCAATCTGCTACTCTGTTGCATTTAAAACAAAGTATATGTTTGGGGAGAATTACTGGCAAAGTTAAACTCTACTTAGTTTCTTCTGGCTCCCATTCAGGTTTCATAATAGTTGTTCTGGTTTAGTAGCCAAGGAAGTTAAATGTTATCTCCTCTCCTAAAGATTCTAAATTTTCCTGGCTACTTCTAAAAATTACTTAGATCTTAAAAAGAAAATACGTGGAGAAAGGGTCATTTTATAAAATAAAACAAGACTCAGAATTTGAAATTCAGAAAAATTTAGTATAACAGCTAGGCATGATGGCTCACACCTGTAAACATGGCTATTCTGGACACAAATACCCAGGCAAAAAGCTAGCAAGACTTCATTTCAACCAATCAGCTGGGCATAGTGACATATATTTCTAATCTCAGGTATACACACTAGGTGGAGTCTGAGGCCAGCCCTGGGCACCCTGAGATGTACATGAAAAGCAATCAAAGGCAAAATGGGGTGGAGAGTTGCTTAAGTGGTAGGGCACTGGCCTAGCAAGCTTAAAGTTGAGTCCAAAGCTCAGGATACCAAACAAAACAAAACAAACATAGTAATCTGTCAAGTTCTACTAGTTCCCAAGTAGTCAAATACTTTTTTTTACATCTAATTCCTGTAGAACAAGACTTTAATTAGTTGAGTAATCAGTTTTAATAGAGCTGAAAATAGAACCCAGGGCTTTATTCATGCTAGGCAAGTGCCTGTACCTCAGTCCTTTTAATGATAGTTCTTTGCAAATAAAGCAAAGGTGTTTCAAATAATATAGAACACAAAAAGGAGAATCAATTATCCAGTTTTGATCTTGGCTAATCATATTGACAGCTAAAGATACAATCCAGTAAACCTGACTCAGGACCTTACAAACTCCTTTATCAACACAGCCTCTACTGTGAATTCGGCCTTTGGAGGTCTCAAATTCAGATTCCAATTTCTTTAAAGGCAGAACATTTTCTTTCTAAATTCATAATGAAAACACTTCTATCCAAGAAAAGGATCCTGAAAAGCTGTGCATGTTATAAAGAACTTTCAGGACCCTGTACAATGAGCCTCTATAAAAAAACAAAACCCAGAGCATTCATTTCATTCTCTAATGCCTGGGTTTACATGCCCCTCCCAACTATTTATGAAAACTATTCTGATTTTTCATTAATTTCACATGTGCATATTGACCAAAGTATTAGAAAAACTATTGTATGTGTGAGGGGGTTCTTAAAGGTACATACCAGTAATTACTTTTCCTCCCCCAAGTCTGAGTTCTGAAACTGCTCCTTCATTGACAGATGGGCAGCAGTTACAGTAATCGGCAGTTCCAGGAAGCATCAGGTGTTGTGATCTACATATCAGCAGGTCAAAGGGGTGCACTCAAGCACTCTGCTTACTGAAGGAAGGCGTTTCGGGGATGCAGAGAGCCACTGTAATATATGAGACAAGTGACTTGACCCCTGCCTCCTTTAGAACCACTTTATTCAGCACAACAGCCTAATAAATCAGCTATTTTTGTGATTAGCACAGACTGCCTGGGGGCTTATCAGCTAGCCAGTCTGGATTTTACTATATCTACTTTGTCTTTTAAGAGAAAAAGACAGGCAGTCAGGATTTCAGTAGATTAATTTACTGCCTTCTGAGTAACATTATTCTGTAAACACAAGTACATGTAAAGATAGACAAAGACACCTTACTGGAAAAGTGGGAGTCACTGTAAAAAACTCAGAAAGGGCCACAAGTCAAAGGACAAATTAGTAACCTAGATTAATAATGTGTTTCCATTAGAAAAACACAAGAAATTAGAAACCATACGATGATCCAAAAAATAAAAATGAAGCCACAAACTTAGCATCAGTCTGAGCAGACTTTGCATCAAATGAATAATAAGCAGAGTTAAACACAAGTGGCCCAAGATACACACATCCCAAGGAGGAGAGAAGAAAAAGAGGGAATCCACAGCAAAACAGAAGCTATCACTAACTCAGTGGGGAGACAGTAAATGGAAGCACACATCTAAGTACTCATTTTACCAAATAAAATTTGACCGAATCTTAAAGGATGCTTGTCCATTTTTGAGCAGTTTTCAGTTCGAAACAGAACTATCCTCTAGTGATCAAAATAAAAAATGTAGGGGTGGTGGCTCAGTGGTAGAATACTTGCCTTGCATGCATAAAGCCCTGGGTTCGATTCCTCAGCACCACATAAGCAGAAAATGCCAGAAGTGGCACTGTGGCTCAAGTAGCTAGTCTTGAGCTGAAGAGCTGAGGGACAGCACCCAGACCCAGAGTTCAGGCCCCACAATTGACCAAAAAAAAGGTCAAAATAAAGTTTTTTCTTTCCCCTCATAATGGGATTAACAGAAACAAATGGATCACAACTGGTCAGGTAGGAAGTGGCGCTGTGGCTCAAGTGGTAGAGCACTAGCCTTGAGCTGAAGGACAGCGCCCAGGCCCAGAGTTCAAGCCTCGTGACTGCCAAAAATAAATAAATAAATAAATTTCTTCTTATATGGGGCTGGGAAGGTGGCTCAGTGGTAGAGCGCTTGCCTTGCATGCATGAGGCCCTGGGTTCGATTCCTCAGCACCACATAAACAAAAAGAAAAAAGCCGGAAGTGGCTCTATGGCTCAAGTGGTAGAGCACTAGTCTTGAGCTGAAGAGCTGAGGGACAGCGCCCAGGCCCAGAGTTCAGGCCCCACAACCGGACCCAAAAAAAAAAAAAAAGACTGGTCAGGTAAAACATTCTGTACCATCACTATTTGAGCTATTTAAGCTTTTAAATCTATGCAGTCCAGCGGTAGTCATGTATGGCTATTTGAGTAAAATTAAAACTTCAGCTCCTTGGTCATGCGAGCTGTATTTCAGATATTCAACAGCCACACGTGGCTAGGGCAGGCAACAGCAACTACAGAAAAGGCTCATCATCACAAATGTTCTAAACAGTTACAGATAAGAGGATATTTTATAGATAAACGACTCCTAGATCACAATGAATGAACCCTAGGAAAGCCTTTTCGGTACCCATTAAGGTATCCAGCACAACAGTTTCTCCCTACAGCACCTGTGCTCTATAAATCATTTTACAACAGTTGTGTCCACGTTCTAATTTATTCCAGAAATATTGAAAAGATCTGCTAATAATGTTGTTTCAGACTCCCACTCCCCCAGTTCCATACACCTCTCTTACCACTGCCCAGAAGCAACAGACAGCATAAATACTGGCACTCAATGTTTCCTTTTCTCCAAAGGAAAAAATAACTGCTTTTAAGTTGGTAAAGGGAGATGAGGCACCTTTCCAAGACAAGAATTAAGCTGTAAGTACACCAGAGGTCAGCTTGCCTCTGTCAGCTCCCCTTCAACATGCACTCACAGAACCTGTGAGCAAATCAAACTGAAAAGACCAGGGCAAGCCACTGAGTTATTTTTACAGGAGGACTGAGAAGTGGGAGAAATTGTTCCCCCAACACATTTTCTTACTGAATGGCAGCCTGAAGTTCATAGGTCTGTCTGGCTTCTATATATTGATGAAGGGTACATAGTGAAATCCCAGATACTTTCTTTTTTAAAATAATATACTTATTTCAAATTTATCCTAAATCTAGAATCTGGTTTTGAAAATGTCAAACACATTTTAATTATGCCCAGGTATGCTCTTTCAGAATCCCAAGTATGAAACTTCTTTCATATAACTGTCATTTGTTTGCAATTGTAAAATCCCTGGAATAAAGGGAATAATTATTATGTAAAACATAGATTGAGTAGAGAAAGATCACTGAATCAAAACTTAAAATGAAAACTACAAATTTAGGTTCAGAATCCTGAAGAGGGTCTCAAAATGAAAACTTATAAACAGTACTTAAATACATTTTCTTAATCTGGTATCCTGAGAAACAGGTATTTACTATCATGGCTTTTTGTTTGCCTTTATAAGCCAGAATGTGTTTTCTAAAGTTTCACACTTACTGAACTCCTTTTGAACACATCAACTTCAACAAGAATCAACAAGTACCCAAAGTCTAGTCCTAAATCCAAACACCTACACAACACTGATATAGAAAATGTGTATCTCCAAATATTTTTAAGATGTGTTTTTAACCTATGGTGTTACCCATTAGATTTGAAAAACAAAAAGCCACATTTCAGGTTCAAAGATCTGGTGTAATTTGAGAGGATCTTAACCAGATTAAACTTAAATCCTTTACTTTTACCTTTTGAACTGTTTCCCTTGCCAAATCTTAAAAACTAAAAGCACATTCCATTATGAAGTTTATTCTCTTGAAAGTCTTTCAAAACCAACTTTTTAAAAATCCTATAAGCACACACAAGATTTACAGAATTGTATTCAAAATGAGGGAGCAACCCTCTTCTCTGGAGGCCTCACAGCCTATATACATATTCTCAAACACACACACACACACACACACACACACACACACACACACACACGAGACCTCCTTCCAAGGACACTTTTGTGTGCCTATAGATTCTAAACAATAACTTGGAAAATACAGAAATACTTTCTCAGCAATGTTAACTCCAATTGTCCACCCACACTTACTTGTAAATCTTTCTTCAGTTTTAACAAATCTTCATTTTCTCCATTTCCAGACAGTGCAGCTTCTACTTGTTGTAGTTGGGCTTTGTAGCTTGCCAGCTGCTTTGCTAGATCCTCTGACATCTGGGGAGAACAAAAGGGGTAAGACCATGAAAAATGGAATCAAATATTAAACCATAAGAAGTAATCCCCAGTTGAGGGCCAGTGGCTTATGCTTTATAATCCTAGGTAACTCAGGAAGCTGAGATCTGGGGATTGTGGTTTGAAGCCAGCCCTGGCAGGAAAGTCCATGACTCTTATCACTCTTAACCACCATAATGCCTGAAGTGGAGCTGAAAAAAGAACCCAGGGCTTAAATAAAGCCTAGAGTGAAAAAGCTCAGAGACAGTGTCTGGGCCCTGAGTTCAAGCCCCAGTACTGGCTGGCACTCACTCACTCACACAGACACGAATTTCCTAACTAGCCTGAATGACGATTTGCTCCTAACTCCTTGTTAACATTGCCACTTAATTCACTACCATTATTTTTACTTACTTCAGACTTCGTTAAATCGCAAATTTGAAGACAATAGTTTGCAAAGATTACAAACAGATAAATTCCACGTAAAGATACAGAAAAAGAGGAAATCATCTATTTCTCTTTTAAAGCCTATTATGCAAAGGGCAATGCGTGTAATACTACTGTTCAGTCAAAACTTGGGAGAAAAGGGCCTATTTTTTCAAGCTTGAAAGTATACTTCCAAAACCAGATAAAAATGTTGTTAACCAAAAAACACTACTCGAGCTACGCAACTAAAAGTCAATGCAAAAGTTTCCACTCCGTCACTGAACCGTTACCCATTTGTGGATACATCTTAAAGAACACAACACTCGCGTGTAGAAACTCTAAGAAACAGTTCTTTAAAAAAAAAAGGCAGGCAGACAGATAGAGACAGACAGAGACACAGACACACACACCCACGAATTAACCGTCTCACGATCTGTAAGCAAATCTTGTCTTTCCTCAAAATTCCCATCGGCCAAAAGCCTGGATCCTGGAAGGATTCCAAAGGGTTCCGGCGAGCCAGGCTGCCCTCCTCCCGGCCCCGCGAAACCCG